TATTGAACAAGTCAGGATACAATTCTCAGTAAACAGAAAAGGCGCTAATCCAATCACCGAACGCGCACAGACAGTCTCGACGTAAGGCCTTCTAGCTGGCCCTAGTACGCAGACGAGTCTGATTGGCTATTGCAACCTGACTGTGCCCGTTCACTTACAGTGCACAGGGGCCTGCTCTGTTTAATCTGAAGGCCCCGAGCAAATTTAATTTACCTGGCAACACAAGCTAGTTGAAATATGATTGGTTAAAAAACTCTACCATAATAAATAAGTTATTTATCGAGTGGCTTTCAATGTTACTGTAACATTGAAAGCCACTCGACTAAGTGGAAATAATTTGACGTAAAGAATACAGAGAATAATTTTGTTTACATATTTATGAAAAGAAAATAAATTAAATTTGCTATTCTCAGAAAAGTAAATTTATTAAATTTACTTTTCTGAGAATGTTTAGGCCAGCAGAGAAGGCCTTGCTGGCCCTGACGGAACGCCACTGAATGACACTAATAACAGCAGTGAGGCTGGGGATTTACTGACCATTAATTAATGTTTTTTGCTAGTTTCAGTTTATTTTCTATCATGCAGGTGTTGCAAAAATGTGCTTCTGTGTCACAGCATATTTTTTCCTATTTTCCAACAGAAGTCTTGATTTTTCTTTTATGTTTGACTGCAGGTGGATATGATCAGGACTCCAGTTGCAAATCACAAGTCCTTACAGATCAACTACTGCCACCCCTTGAGTGCTGAGGAAACCCAACAGATGCAGCTAAATGGAACGCCATCAATCACAGTAGGTCGCAAGACAGTAGGGACAACTAAATAATCTTTACCTCTAATGCTGCACACCAGGTGGCAGCTTCTTTGTTTCTCTCTTCTGTGGTTTGCTTGAGCTTGTGCTGGAGGGTGCTATTGGTCAATTGTAGCTGCTGCTCTTTGTATTGTGTTTCCTTCTGTGCCAGTTCCAACTCCAACTGCAAGACAACAACTATTAAAGCGCTGCCATATCTTAAATATTATCGTTGTCCTGTGAAAAACACTTAGATCAATTTTGATCATTTTTCGAACATGTTTACATGCGTTTTGGACATCGTATCAATGAAAAATTTAAAAGTTACAAAAGCGGACAAACTTTCTTTTCACAGGACAGCGAGAGTATATGAAATACAATACACTCCCAAAAGGTGTGCAACACGAGCGTGCATAAATGTCTCATTTACCTTGATGTTCTCTAACTCCAGAACTTTTTTCTGCAGATCCATTAACTCTGAGGTTGATGAACTTTGAGTTTCTTCATTAAGAATACGAAGCTCATCCACCTTATTTTTCAGCACCTCGGTCTGTAAGTCAAGTTTTTCTTTCAGCTGTTTCTCAATCAGCTGTGACTCATCCAAAGAAGACTGCAAATGCATGATCTAAAAAAAAAAAAACAATTAAAAAAAAAAAAGTAATTTGTGATAATAAAAACTTGTCTGGCCTCCAGGACGCCCACCGCACTGCTCCCGCCAACAACTTCTCATCTGGCGGACGGGATGTTCACCGGACTGGTCCCGCCAGATACTTTCACTTTTCAACCGGGAAAATAATTATACGTTATTTTATTACAGCTAAAATTTAAATTTAACAGATTGAAAATCAACAGCAACATGGTCGAGACAAAGTGAACATATGAATCCAAAACGTACACACTTGTTCTGTGAATGCATTTATATCCAATCCTTCTGGGGGAGCATTTACTCAGCTCTCTGTGATGTTCTGAGATATGTGAACACAAAGTGTCGTTTGATTTTATATTTGGCACACTTGGACGATGCAGTTCATAAAGAAGAGCAATATCTTGTCAACGTTCTCCTGGTGGCCGATAAAAAAGCTATCACAAATAATTGGCTTAAGACTGATCCGCCTTTGTTTAAACCAGTGGTCCACTACCAGCGGTCAGCGGACCGGCACCGGGCCATGGCCCATTTTGTACCGGGCCTCACAGACACAGACCAAGATCTTTTTTTGTTTGTTTTTGCTAAGCATCAGCCAACCCCAACCACCCCTTCGATTACCTTCCAAAGGGAAATATGAATATATCATTACGAATCGTGATATTTACGTGACTATCGGCGAGCTGTGAGCATATTTACGCCACCAGACATGGAGGAAATGTGAGCGACTATAGCTAATCTGAGTGCCCATTCTAACATTGGTTTGCAAGGAGGTAAACAGAATCTGCCAATAAATCAAAGAAGAAGCAGGAAACAGAAGGTAATAGCAACAAAATGACCAAACGTACAGCGAAACGCACAGCTGACGAGCATCCGTGACTTCCAAAGATGAAGCTATTTTGACAGAAGTTCCTCCCTAGTGGTATCGCCCAAGCGACGTGGAGGGGGAAGCTGTTACTGTTATTGTATTACAATTCAAAATATGTGAAAGAAATAAAGAATGCAAATTTGGCATGAGAGTAACTGCATGTAAGCTGCTCGTTTCCTCATTTCCCAAGTTTCGTGGTCGGTATCGCTGTTTGCAATGTGCTTTCCCTGTATTTTGCCCCTCAAATGATGCCAATGAAATGCAAAATAAATGGCTCAGTGTTGATGTGGGAAAACGCAGAGGGAGAGAGAGAGAGAGAGAGAAAGAGAGAGAGAGAGAGAGAGAGAGAGAGAGAGAGAGGTTTCTCATAAAAAAGAAAGAAAAATCACAAAAAGACCTTCGGCTTTGCTGAACACAAAAGGCTCCTCACATACGGTACTTGGGAACCCTTTTGGGTCCTTTTAGTTGTTGTCTTTAGACTAAAATCAATGAAAGTTTTAGCCATAATTTAGTCACCTGATTGTATTTTAGTTTTACTGCAATTTTGGTCAACAAAAACAGCGGGGGTGTCTTGGGGAGTGCAATGTATTTATATCTTTTATGATACACTTAGGGGGCGGAGGGTCCTGCAAAATCTCGTAACAAGTGTGCAATGACAATAAAGGATTCATTCATTCATTCATTCAATTTTAAATGAATACTGACAGCTCACTGTTGACGCATGGCCGGGTAAGAACATTGAAGTTTCAATTTGTCTATGAACTATCAAATTAAATTATGATTCCAGCAGTATTTTGGCCTTGCAAAAACTGCTGATATAACTATGATGATTTCATTTAGCAGCTATAACTGTCACATCGGGTTAAAGCTGAAAGACACATAAATGTAGATTCTACACATGAGCACCACTGTCTCAACACAATCTCAAATAATATTTAACTGTTTAATGATGTTTGTGTCACATTTCAGTTTAATTTATTTATCTTTCTTTTTTTTCTTTCCAACCTTGGCTCGTGTTGTAGACATGCTGCAGCCATCATGATTAAGTTGAACATGACAGTGAGGCTGGGACTGAGCACTTTAGCATGTACTTCACAAACATGTGCTTGGAAAGACATGCCCAGTCGTTGCCCCCTTCCTGATTTTTTTTCTTTTTGTATGTTTGTCAAATTAAATATTTCCCATCATTTAAAAAAAAAAAAAAGACAAAAAATCCTGAGTCAAAGACAAGTCAACACGAGTTGCAGTTTTTAAATGTTTTTGCTGCTGTTGTAGTTTTACACAAGATGGAGCAAAAAAAAAATCCCAACCTACATGGCCCTGTGTAAAAATAAAGATTACCCCCTAAACCTCATTCTGTATGTCGTTCATCAGAAGCAATTACATGTAGCAAACCTGCAAAGTGAGGTCCTTGAATTTTGGAGAATGGTTCAGCTCAGATTACGGATGGAGGGTTGCCCTTTTTGTTAGAAGTGCCCCCCTGAGCACCGTGCCCCCCTCTCCACAAGACTTTCTGTTACCTCTGAATTGTATTATTGTCCATCAATCCACTTTCTTTACATCGTAATTTGGGTCACAGGTGTGCTTGAGCCTATTCCTGCTGACTTCACCCTGGACTGATCGCCAGCCAATCAGAGGAACTGTATTGTTGTTTCTCTTTGAATTCAATGATTTTAAATTTTTATTTTAAAATTGAGAGTAAGGTCTATTCAGGGGTGCTGGAGAGGAGGGTCTGTCAGGAAGTCGAGCCTCAGAATGAAGAGGAGCAGTGTGGTTTTCCTCCCGGCCATGGAACAGTGGACCAGCTCTACACCCTTAGCAGGGTCCTCGAGGGTATGTGGGAATTCGCCCAACAAGTCTACATGTGCTTTGTGGACTTGGAGAAGGCGTTTGACAGTGCCCCTCGGGGAGTTCTGTGGGGGGGTGCTTCGGGGGTATGGGGTACCGAATCCCCTGATATGGGCTGTTTGGTCCCTATACCATCAATGTCAGAGTTTGATTCGCATTGCCGGCAGTAAGTCGGAATCGTTTCCAGTGAGGGTTGGACTCCGCCAAGGCTGCCCTTTGTGGCCGATTCTGTTCATCACCTTTATGGACAGAATTTCTAGGAGCAGCCGAGCGTTGATGGGGTCCTTTTTGGTGGCATCAGTATTGCATCTCTGCTTTTTGCAGATGATGTGGTACTGTTGGCTCCTTCAAGCGGGGCTTTCCAACTCTCACTGGAGCGGTTGGAATGAAGATCAGCACCTCCAAGTCTGAAACAATGGTCCTCAGTCGGAAAAAGGTTGACCACCCTCTCCGGGTCGGGGAGCAGATCTTGCCCCAAGTGGAGGAGTTTAAGTATCTAGGGGTCTTGTTCACGAGTGAGGGCAGGAGGGAGCGAGAGATCGACAGGCGGATCGGTGCAGCCTCTGCTGTGATGCGGACTTTGTATCGGTCTGTCGTGGTAAAGAAGGAGCTGAGCCAAAGGGCGAAGCTCTCAATTTACCGATCGATCTACAGCAGGGGTCCCCAACCGCCGGTCCGCGGACCGGTACCGGTCCGCCGGGCATTT